GGGAAAGAAAGCACTGCTTGTACAGAGCCTGGTTTCATTTTAAACTCTCAGAACAATTGTCTTCTGTAAACCTTTGGCACTCCACCCACTCAATTACCTTCTCACATCCCAAGCTAAGCAGTTCTGGAACATGCTAGTACTTAGGAGATTTCTCTTGGAAACCCCATACAGAGTTAGCTGGAAGCCAGCACCTGCCAGGCCTCAGTATTGCTGCTTTTGTTAGGTTCTTGTGGCTAAGTTATAGGTCACAGCTATATCTTAACTACTGGAATTTATGAGAGCTGTTCTCATTAGCCATAGTGGACAGTAATACAGAAACTGGACGAACGAATCCCTGCAGTTGGGCAGGAAAGGAGAGTGAGACAACAGGCTATCTACTGAGCATTTCTATCCCAGGAATCTGTACATCTATGAAAGATAATGCAATACAGGATAAACATGATGCATTCTACTACCCAAAATGGAATTAAAAATAACAAGGTTTAGTGCTTCTCTGAATCACTCTAGTTTGAATAAGCCTTGTTTGTCAAATTAGTATATTTGAACACTCAGAGGGAACAAGGTTGAATCAAGCAGTAATAATTCTTAACAAACACTACAGGAGAATCAACCGTCAAATAGTAAAAATCATTAAAACTAGAAGTTATTCCAAGAAAAACAACCCAACTTAAAACTTACGCCCTGAAAAATCACGTTGTGTTCAGTCCTTTCCTCTCATCTCTGGCTAAGCACAGTACCCAAAGACAGAAACTAAAAAGTGTTATCTTGCCAATTGTGCAATGCAAGGCCTGGCAGCCTCCCTGTGCTCCAATCGTGCAGGTGATCTTTTATGCCCTAAAGCACGAGACTCTCTATGTATTTTACTAGCTGTTAAGATCAGGAATTGGAGTCGCCCTTTCTTCACAATCTCCATGTGCACGTTATGTGCACAAATGAATTAAGTGCTGCATCCACAGTATAACAGAGGTGGGAATTTATATTTAAATAGTGAATAACCAAGTTGCAAAGGTGTGTGCTCCAAAATCATGTGCTGTTCTGTGATGAGGTGTCGTCAAAGAGAAATCTTTGCCCTATATGAGATGAAATCAATAGCCACAATTAGAATAAAGCAATACCTCTGGCTGAACAGCATGAATTAAATATCCCATGAGGATGAGCCCTGTGCTATTGCTTTCACTCACAGCAGCAAGAGCTATCTGGAGCTTTCTGTGTGATGGCTGTTCCCATATCCCCTTTGTTCATATATTTTCACATTTCAGTTGTCTTCAGTAACTATTGGATTCCAGGGAGCTTTACCTCCTTTTGCCTCTGGGGTGGCCCTTACTCAGTCCTCAGCATCACTTGGACACGCAAGTACAGCACTTCCAATTTTTGTCTTGCTCAAGACTAAATGTGACACAAACTAGTTACCAAATTAACATGCACCTTCTATATTTTTATTATCTTGAAATCTACAGAAAGTAAGACATATCCTCTCCTGAGCAGTGGTGGAGGGAAATCATGGAGTTGAACACAGCCTGGAGGCTTTTGCTTGCTCCGGGTGGTATGGGAGGCTGTGACCTCAGGTTATCACTATGGCTCTACAAAAAGTAAATAGATTGAGGCCTCCAAAAAAAAAACCCAAACCCAAAATGAAAGTGCTGAGGTTTCTAAGACAGGAGCTGCTGAAGCACTCAGAGAGCTGTGCTAGGGGAAAAGAAGGGAAAAAGGTGGAGCTTTCCAGGAGCTTTTCCCCTTTGCTTTTCCCTGGCCCTAATCCAGCGGGAGACGAAGGTGACACTGCAGCCTCTAGTGGCTAAAGGCACCACTACAGATCCCCCAAAATCCAGCAGGTAATTAATATAACAAGGCTGGCAATTGTACAACTGTCTTGCATGTAACAGCCAACGATGTAGAATGTGGCCCTGCTGATGGTGTGACATGTGAGAATATCAGATATTTTTGGGGGGAGGGAGTGGGAAGTATTGGGGAGGAAAAAAAAATAGAGACTGGGATGGAGAAATTCAAAAGCTGGTTACCATTGCAGTATATTCAAGAATTGTGCATGTTTGAAGGAAAATATACCTAAGAGGGCAGATTTTTCAGAGCTGGACTTCTTGTGGGGTTGGGTGTTTTTGTTGGCTTTACTTCTAGTTGTAACAATTTTTTACTATTTGATACCTGATTCTCCTAAGTCAAAATACAACATAGTTGTGGTTTTTTAATATGGAGGTAGGGCTTTCAAATCTCCTATAAGGAGATCCAAGATGAGTTTGCTTTCTGCAAAACTTGTGGGTTTTTTAAAGTTTTGAAATTTCATGAATGGCTGCTCACAAGTCCTAGTAGATAAAGCATATAAGAAATAAGTAAGAAATTATAAACCAAACCTTAATTTTTTTAACAGTTTCCTGTAGAGAATTTGAGAAAAACCAGGTTTGCCCCAACAAGTTTCGCTTTCAGTAAAATCCCCATTTTATCAGATATCTCAGTAAACAAACAAATACACAATTCTGGACAGCTTCAGAATATTGCAAGCAAAGCACAAACCTGGAAATTTGCAATAATGCAAAGTCCAAAACAGCTCATCAGTCCTAGTGTAAGGCCAATCTTATTAAGCTTGATGATCTTGGATTTTTCTGGATTCAAAGCGTAAACTTGTTTATAACGGACATACATGGTAGCCATACCTGTTAATGAAGAAGCCAAATGCAGTAAGATTTTCAGTTGATGAGTATACTGTCCTTTTGTAACTGGGAAGATGCTGAGTGACAGAGGCAACTACTTAAAATACAGAAACTGTCTTATGATACACTGAAATAGGAAAATCGAGAATCTGGAAGTCAAAACTGAAATAATATAATGGTGAACAAGTCAACTTACTAGATTTTTCTGATCTCTTTCATTTGAAAGACATACAACGTTGTTTTTCCCCCTCTCCGTAATTGCAGCACAAGTAAGGTGACTGCCTTGAATTTGCAATTCTAGTTCTTTTACTAGTCTGTAGGGTTTTTTTAAATGCATTTAAATGCCTTCTGGAATCTGCAATTGTCATGCTGGCTTTGTGGATAACATCCCTGACATACACTTTCCTTTGAATTGCTTAAGAGAATTAAGATTGATTGCTTAGAATTTAGTTTTTGACTGAGAACTATGGGCTGTTTAATGATTTGAATAAGGAAATTAAATTGTTTAAAGCTGTGTGTATTCTAGAACTGCCTGCAGTTCACCAAGGACAACCTTCTATACTCACCCAAAAAAGCTGAAATATTTAACATGATCCCAAACAAGCATCTTTCAGGTGGTATTGTCCCTGTATCACTGGAAGAGATAAATGGAGTGATACTTATCTATCTATACTAAAAATACTTGCAACACAACTTTACTTATTTCAGTCTACAAAGGAATTGTAAGAAACAGGTTTGTGAAAAAACAACTCCCAGAGATTTTTCACTGAATTTTTCATTACTCAAACATTACTGTGCTGGTTTCTAGAGCTGTAGAAATAAGCATAGTAAAGACATGCTACCCTTAGAACAAGGAATGAACATACTTGGTATAACTATTCTTTTTATATCGAGCTTGATTCCATAAAAGGTGAATAAAGACTATTAAAACTGGAAAAATGAAGAACCTGGAAAAACTGAAAGACCCAAACTAAGGTCATATGCACAGCCTCGATGGAATGCAGTTGGGAATATAGATTATAGTATGGATTTACTGGTGCAACTGAACCTGGTGACAGCAAGACACTTTACTCTGAAGAGAGGGTTCGAGATGCACCCCCAGTTTTCTTGTTCATCATCATTTTAAGGATATGTTCACAGAGCCACAGCTTAAAGGTTAGACTTTTGCACAAATCCAGACAGCTTTAAATAGAGTTGTACACAAATGACTATGAACAGCTAGTAACTTTAGCACTGAAGCTGTTAGGTAAGAACTGCTGTTTATAGTTTGGAGCTGGGGAAGAATTCACAGGAGTGAGAGGCTAATTCAATACTACAATACAGAATGAACGTTACTGACCTGATGTAGGGCACCAAAGGGTCAACGTGGTGTAGGACAATCGCAGTAATGTATGAAAACACAAAAGTTGCAGCTGACCAAACAACCAAAGCCACAGGCAAGAAAGAGAGGCCTTGCTGAAACCACCACATTTCAGTGCTGACTTCTAACTCCAAACACTGTGAAGCATCAAATACAAAGGTTTACTAAGATTTCTCAAAGATTTTGCTTTTCTTGAGGCAAGCTGCTTCAAGCGCAGCAATTTGATATTGCTCTCAGTCCTGTCCTGCAAACCCAAAATGAACATTTGACTTCATGGCACAGAAGCAATTGTAAATAAGCAGAAGTAACATCTGGAAATGTTAATTCTGAAATTCTTAGAAGATCACAAGAAAAGAAACCAGTAGTGTCACTTTACTACATGTCTCAGCATTTGTTGCTGCCAGAATAAGGTCAAGTGGGTCATCATGAATAACTGACTCTATTTTCTTCTTACGCCTATGTCGTAACACCGTGTCAGAATTGGTGAGGCTGACAGAGAACGTGTCCCAGTAGTGACAGTTTAACTGATAGAGGCTGTTGCGGAGCCTCTAACTTCCATTAACAATCAGCTGGGCAGACATGGAGGAAATGACCTAAAATTACTTTAATATCTGCCCTCATTTACTACCTGTCATGCTGTGTGACTCCACATCTGTCCTAAGCATCACTTAAATAAGGTCACAGATCTCTATGAGCAAGAGTCGACTGCTACCAGCCACAGCCTTCAAACTCAAGGGCTACTTATTCCTGGTAGCAGTATAGTAGCTACCATGCTTTTACAGGTGGGAGGAAGAGGTCCATTTACAGTGGAGTGAAATGGCTAACTCTATACTCACGCTGTCCAGTTGCCTAAGTCCCAGCAAATCTGTGTCTCTACCTCCAGTTCTCTAATGTGCAGCTGTGTCACCCTGGTGAGCTCACACAGAAAAAACTGTGCGTCCTCTCTACTCTTGCTGCTAGAGGGAAGTAATTTTCTATTGGCTTCAAATAAAAAGTTAAACAGAGCTGATTTCCAAGTCCCAGAATGGCTGAGGTGGGAAGAGACCTCTGGAAGTCATCTTGTCCAACCCCCTGCTCAAGCAGGGCCACCCAGAGCCAGTTGTGCAGGATGGCTTTTTGAGTATCTCCCAAGGATGGAGATCCTACAACCTCTCTGGGCAACCTGTGCCAGCACCCAGTCATCCTCACAGTGAAAAAGTGTTTCCTGATGTTCAGACAGAACCTCCCATGTTTCAGTTTGTGCCCACTGCCTCTGCCACTGGACACCACTGAGAAGAACCTGGCTCCATCCACTTTGCACCCTGCCTTCAGGAAGGGAGATGAGATCCCGCCCGAGCCTCCCACATTCATGAGATCCCACCTGAGCCTTCTCTTCTCCAGGCTATACTTGCTCCTGCATTTTATGCATTTTACTGATGGCATTCCCTTACATTTACACTGGTGAGAAGAGTACAGAAAGTGTTTAAGCATAGCTGAAACTGGACACTATAAATGGAATATGAAATAGGACAAAGGTGAAGAGCAAATAATAAAGAGTACGGATGCAAGGACATCCAAGCAAAGATCAAACAGTATGTAAGAAAAGCAGAATAATGTTGAGACAAAACAGGAAGGGGTGCAGCACAGAGAGGTTTTAGGAGGTGGTCATTGCCTAGAGTGTGAGAGACTGAAACAAAGGAGAAAGAAAAAAGGAAGGAAGAGATAGGAAGCACCAAGACTAGAAAGTCTCACGGGAGGAAAAAAGAAGCTGAAACAAAAGTGAGTGAATCTTGCAAAAGGTCAGAGCTGATCAACTCCTTTGCATCTCACTTAGGAGACCTCGGCACTCTTCTGACAGGGACTTACTGCACACAGCAGGTACTCGGTCACAGGTAGACCTTTGTTGTATCTTTTTGCTCACCTTTGCCAGCACTCATGTCTAGGAGAGGTTGTGGAAAGCCGGGCTGATAGATTCATCACATAATGTATAACAATGCATAATGAGAATTGCTCATTTACCAGAAACTGGTGACTTGTGTTTGTGCTGCTTTTAAGCCTAGAATATTAGCGCTTCAGACAAGAACAAATGAGCTCTGGCATTCTCCTGGGAGGTAAAAAAAGCCAACTCTAACTGATAACCCTTGAAAAGAACATACAAGTACATCCTTGTAAAATTAAAGGTTCAGTTGCTTGTGAGGAAGATGTTAGGTAGCAGATGAAGGTATCTAACAGGAGATGTAGTGAATAAGAATAGAGTGATAGAATTAAAGTTGCTTGCTCTCTTACCCGTAAGCTTTCATTTTTAAGCTCAGTATAATATTTACTCTCTAATGTTGACTTTCATTTTAAGACTGTAATGCAGTAATAGTAATGAATATAACTTCATAATCCCATCTCTTGTATGAGTAAATTTGAAATCTGAAAGAGAAATGCATATTTTGCATGGCATTCTCTGTTATAGATATTATGTGCCTGGGCATGTAATTCAAAACTTCAAGCAGTCGGATGCTTAGATTTCAGTTTTCCTTTAGCATTTAAATGTTAATAGTGCCTTAGCTTTATTTCTGAGCTAATAGATTTTTGCCTGAAAACAAACAAACAAAACAACAAACCACATACCTGAGAACAAGGGCATCAAAAGAAATGTCACCTCAAGGGGAATCCAAAATCATCTTTCTGGTGAAGTCCCACATTCGCTTCATTTTTTTTCTAAATCTTTGAGATACAAAGGAAAATAATCAAGATGTGAGGTACTTCTATACCTCTTACTCTGTATTACTTATTCTCCTTCTTAGCATCTTCTATTAGTCGTTGCTGCTGACTGGACATTGGATTAGATGGACTGTTGGCCTGACATAATATGTTTTTCCTATGTTCCAAGTGGTTTAAGGAGTGAAGCTTGTGTATGGTGGGATGGTAGAAATGCAGAAAAACAGGTGTTTAAGACTTTTTGATTTATAGGACCTCTCTACTCCAAGATTTAACTTGAAGTGAGAAGCTTTCAGGAAAAAAAAAAGAATGCAACTGTTTTAATGCAGTTAAACCCAGTGCCTACGATCACTGCTTTCACATAAGGAAGAGAACAGAACACAGAGTCTTCCCATTTCATTGCAGATGGGCATCCCAATGAGATGCTGATGGTGCGGATAGGTGCTGAAGCAACCTGAATTTAACCAGATATCCCAGAACTCCTGTCTTCTCTTCACATGAGCTGCTGCCATTTTTACACACTGGAGAAGGCATTGGAGAGGAGATGCAATGCTGTGTTCCTGTTAACTGCGCAGCTATTCCAAATTTCTCCCCTGGATATTACTCGTATTGCATAATAAATGTGTCTACGCAGGCAGCTCATCAGCGATGTCTGCTCCAGGGAAGCCCTCAGTCAAGACTGGGCATCTCTGCAGCCTGTGGTGTCACTTAGCCCAAAGCTAAGGCTTGGACACAAATTACGATCGTTTTCATGTGGTTAGGTGTAAAGAGCAGTGTGGTAGCTTCAGTTGCAACCTGAGAGCTCCGGTGAGGCACGACTTCTTACTGTGAATATGGCTGCAGGCTGGTACATCCCAATGGCACAGGGATTAGAGCTGGTTTGGGCTCTGTCAGAAGACTGCAGCTCTGGTCCTCTTGTTTCACAGACATAAACCCCTGCCAAACTCTCCTTACACCTAAAACTGTTTTGTAAATTTTTTCCCCACTAAAGTCTCTTTCTTAGCTCTGTCAAGATCTTCCCTGAATTCCTATCATCTCCCTTCATCTTCCTTCCTGTTTAAATTTTTTTCAGTGAAATCAAGTCTTTTTTTCACGCTGTATATACCAAAGACAGGCTTTGTTCTGTGCACTGTCCAAACTTCGCACTGCTGCAGATACACCGTGACACTGCCAGCTCACAGGACTCTGAACGTGGAGCGTCTGGGCAAGCACAGGCACATAACGAGGCATCTCAAATCACTGGGAGGCAGGATGGAATTGCCTTGCAATTTGCCAGCTGGAAGGTCCTGAAATAAATTATTATTAACACCTCATCCTGTCCTATTGTTTTCAACAGTGAGAAAGAAAACACACGCAACCTCCTTGTTTTTTCACAAGGTCCTTTGCCAGCTGATTATATAATGGCAATGGCTAGCCTCTCTTTCCAACGTAACTATGACTTTCTTAAACATTTATCCTGACCTGTAGGCACTTTCATGTCCTAAAAGGGTTTTTAAGCCCCAGACTGAATATCACAGATCTTCCCTGCGACAGACATTATTAAATCATCATCAAGAGCAACTCAAGGAAGCATTTCAAAAGCAAAGATTTTAACCATCTCTGGGTTGGTTTTTTTAAATGCAGGAAGTGTGCAGCAGCATTCTGCACATGCTTGAGCATGCGGAAGAGAAACTACAAATGAAAATGAAAGGTGGCCAAGACCATTAACGGCAGAAACTTAATGTTACCTAGAACGATAATGCTGAAAAGATGGTCAAAGTACATGGGGGAAAGGGAAATTTCTAAATTAATGCTGATACCCTGATTGTCAACCTGCCTCTTCCCTGCTCTCTCAGCAAGACAGGCAGAGGTAAAGCTGTACTAAGGAACACTCCGTTTTCTCTCCAGTGAAATACTCCAACAGACGCTGTGTTAAAGGAAGAAAGACAAAGCAATTTACCATGTGTGTTCCTAAGTAAACACAAAGGTTGGATGGAGATGAGTCAGAAAGGGATTGAACGTGTTCATTTGTGGAATTTATTGTCAGGGTCAAACTGATAACAACAGTTAAAGGTTGCTAATCCTCAACGGATTAGAGGTAAGAAAGTAGGAAATGTGTCACCTTTGTTTTTCCCACTGCAGGGTAATGATGGATGACTTGTTTTGAGTGTTTTCTCAGTACAGACACCAAAAAAGTTGCTATTAAATCTTTTGGATATGGGAGTCAGCTTCCAGAGACTTGAGGGGAGGATCTCTGTGCTCTCGCTAAGTCCCTGTTACCCAGCTGGGGAAGCAGCAGAACGGCACAGCGCCAAACCAAACAGAGCCAGGCACAAGATACCATGACATAAGGATGTACCAATGCCTGTTTTAGAAACCTGGCATACCACAATGCTGGCCTGTCGTTACTGCTGACTGAGAAGCTCAGTGTCCAGGATGAACG